TATATATATATATATATATATGTATATATGTATATATATATACTGATACGTATAAATTGAAACAAATGAAGCTGAAAATAGAATATGCATGGACAGCTATGTCGTGAAGCTACATTTCCATTTCATCTTTTGCCGTCTTGGCCTCGCGAACGCAGCAGAGGCGAACACTACAGTGAGAACACAAGTAAATAAAATAAATAAAATAAAAAAAAGCCAAAATAAATGAAATAAAACGTCAAGCTGGTAAACAACAGAGGGATTCAAGATGAGCTGGAGAGACACCGCGCGGATGTGTGGTTATTTCTTTCACTGAATTTGTTTTCAGCTTCTCTCTACAACAAGAACCAACATAAAGGTTGCATGTATGCACGCCTGCATGCAGCCCCGGGAATTCTGCTTTCTGGGGGCCGTTTCGTTTATCTTTACTGCCGCTTTCTCTGTTCAGTTTGTTTTTGCTGCTGCATAATATATAATACATCAACCAGAGGCTACATCTCCCATTGATAACCTCAAAGTTATTTGTATAAATACAAATATTAACGTAGAAGCAAACAAACGCGAGAAGGAGAAAGGGAGAATTAATATCTGGCTTTCTCAGTTTGGGGTGTATAGACAGATACACGAGTTTCTGTCTCTCTATCACTGCGCTTTGCCCTGCCACTAAAAAACTTGATTAAAAACACAGCAATCAACAAAAAAACATCAGCACAGCTAAAAACCCAGAAGGTATACAGATGCTGCTCCATAGCTCCATACACGAACCCCACCACCAACCCCCGCATGCATATCTCCTAGATAAGCCAAAGATAATAAGAAAAAGAAATTGTTATGGGGCAGCAAGAAAGAGCTGAAAGCCAGCAGTTTAACAACAACACATTTCAGGTGTACAGACACCTCAGCAGCACCGCTGCTATTTGCATCCCACCAAAGATCTTCATATCTTTTCTAGTTTCTCAGAACATTAAAACAAATTATAATTAACGGGCAGCCTCAGTCAGCACAAGGGCCTCCTGACGACGGAAACCTTCCCTGCTGCTGCTGCTGCTGCTGCTGCTGTCGTTCTTGCTGCTGTTGTTGCTGGTGCTGCTGCTGCTGCTGCTGCTGCAGAGAAATTATTTCGCTTGATACGGCTGAGAGAGTCTTCATGAGGAACCCCGAAAGCTTCGTCTGGGCAGTATGCTGCTGCAGAGGTGGAGACAGCAGCAGCGCAGCTGGCTGCTCTGCGCTGTATGTACACCCCGCCGAGTGCAGCAGCTGCTGCTTTGTGTTGTTTATTTTCATTTGTTGTTTTCACGCGTCCCTTCAACTCTCTAAAATTATTTTTTTCTCCGCGGCGGCATCCAGCTGAGGCCTGTGAGGCTGCCCTTCTGCCTTGGCGCCCTGTTGTTGCTGCTGCTGCTGCATCTTCTGCTGCTTCTGCTGCTGCTGCTGCTGTTTGTTCTTTCGCTTTCATTCCTCTTTCCCGTGGCTGCCTCCCAGCAGCAGCAGCAGCACCAGCAGCAGCAGCAACAGCTGTTGCTGCTGCTGCCTTGAGGCCTGGAAGCTTCATTTCGCGTTTCTGCAGATAAACGCGGCAGACAGGAGCAGCATTTGAGCCGTCTTTCTTCGTCTTCCTCTGCTGCTGCTCACCACTCGTTGCTGCTGCTGCTGCTGCTGCTGCTGCTGTTGCTGCAGCAGCAGCAGCAGCAGAATGTTCTAAGCGGTGATCGCAACAGTTAGGCAGCAACGCGCTGCAGCCAAGCCCCGAATTCGCTCCGCCCCATACGGAAGCATTTGATTGCAGCTGCTGCTGTTGCTGCTGCTGCTGCTGCTGTTGCTGCTGCTGCTGGCCCTGCCTTGGTTGCTCTTGTGCTTCATGTGGATGCGGAACATTCAGCTGCTGAAAGGGGTTAGGGTGCTCGTGCTGCTGCTGCTGCAGCTGCTGCATCTGCTGCTGTATCTTCTGCTGCAGTTGCAGTCGGTGCTGCATCTGCTGCTGCATTTGCTGCTTCTTCGAGGAGAAGGTGCAGCTGGGCTGCGCCCACAAAACCTGCTGCTGCTGTGCGCCAGCATCAGCTGCTGCAGCAAGAAGCTGTCGCTGCAGCAGCTGCTGTTGCTGCTGCTGCTGCTGCTGCTGCTGTTGCTGCTGTGCTGCAGCAACATTAAACATCGATACACAGGGGGCCTCCCGCATGCAGCAATTGTTTCCGCCAAAGCCGCCATACTGAGCGAATGCTGTTGACGGCGCATGCGTTCTTGTCCCTGCTGCTGCTGCTGCTGCTGCTGCCGCTGCTGCTGCTGCTGCTGCTGCTGGGGTTGCTGCTGGAGATGCTGCGCTCTGTGACTCGCTGCAAAGACCTTCACCCAGTTGCTGTTGCTGCTCCTGCGGGTATAGCAGCTGCTGCGGGCCTTGCAGTTGCTGCAGCCGCTGCAGCTGCTGCAGCTGCTGCATCTCTGAGTGTTGCTGCTGCTGCTGCAACAACTGCTGCTGTAGTTGCTGTTGTATCAGGAGATAGTGCTGCTGCTGCTGCTGCGGCCCCATCTGCAGCGGGTGTGCATGCATCTGCTGCGCTGGTTGCAGTTGTTGCAGTGTTTGCTGCTGCTGCTGCAGCATTTGCTGCTGCTGCCGCAGTATTTGCTGCTGCTGGTGTAGATGCAACGAGTAGCCTGTGAGGGTTGAGAGAGGACCGCTGGGGCCATCATCCTTCATTCTGCTGCTACTGCTGCTGCTGCTGCTGCTGCTGCTGCTGTTCTGCTGCACTTCTGTGTTTTTGTCTTCTACGGAGTTAAGTATTTTATTATATTGAGATCCCCCCAAAGCTGTCTGCAGCACTGCAGCAGCAGCTCCGTTTGCTGCAGCAGGAACTGATGATGAAGCAGCAGCAGCAGCAGCAGCAGCAGCAGCAGGTGCTGCTGCTTCGGGACCTGCTGCGGTTTCTGTTGCCCCCGCTGCTGTTTCTGCCTCTGCTGCTGTTT